AGCGCGGATGGTCGCGCCCGTGCCCCCCTATCTCGCGTCTCGAATGGTGCGGTCCGGCTGGGCCGGCGGCGGCGCGGACGCGACCAAGGAGGCCAGGAAGGGGGGTTTCCGGAGGAATGGCGAGTGACGTCAGCGCGCCTTCAGTGCTGGGGCGGCGGTGGCGCGCGCCTGCAGGCGGGGGCGAAGGCGCTGTCCTCGGTGCTGAATCTGACAGTGCGCACGCGCCACGCCGCATCCTGTTTCCCCTCCCCCCTTCTGATAGGGGATGCGCAATTTGGGGAGTGGGGGTGGGGTGCTTGTCTGGAGGGTCGGGGTCGGTCGTCAGGCAGCCTTCCCCGCCATCCCGCCTCATCCTGATCCTCACACCCACTTGCACCCATACACAGGGTCCTCCGCAGACACTCGGTTTCCAGTGTTGATATTCACCTCAGAAGGCATTTTTTGGGGGTGGAGGTGAAAGCACACTCAGAGACAGAAAAGTAGAGAAATAACCACCTCACAGCGGGGGGGGGGAGGCGGTCACACGCAGTGCCCCGCGGGGATATCAGTCTCCCACGTCCACACAAGCTTAGCTAGGCAGAGAGCATCAGACAAACGGAGGCGGACACTTAGGCGATATACACACCCTTGCCCAGGGTGGCAGAGGTCCTGGAGGCACACGAGGAATGACACAAACGTGGAGATACATATGGACACACACAAAAGTAAGGAAAAACACGGGGGCATGCACAGAGAATACACACCAAGCTAAATATATATATATAGACATAAAAGCCCAGGGTGACATACATGGGCATGTTGCATACAAGCACACATACACATACAGGCAACACATCGACATGCAGAGATCCAGGGAAACTCACACGAGCATACACACACAGACAATCATGGAGAAAGCTAGATCTGCAACACAGACACATTCTCTGCAGCTCTAGCCCTGGTGTGTGTCCATCCCCCCCAACATGCTTGTGTATACACTCCCATCCCTTTGCTCTGGACACAGCCAAAGCCCATGATAACCACTTGGTGTCATCAGTGCCCAGAGCTGTCTTCCCCTGCACCCAAGAACTTTGCACAGACAGATGTAGACTCATCTCAGGGTATACACACAGTAGGTGCCAAATAATGTTTGCACACACGCAAATGAGGTAGTCTAGGCAAAGGTGGGATGTGGAAGGCATCCTGTCAAACCTTAAGATTCTGACTATAATAAAAGCACAAATTCATAAATAACCACCTGTTGACTGATGGTACCTAGCACTAAGGGGATAGTGGTCAAAGGAAGCCAGATAAAGTCACTTTCCCAAGGTTAAGTGGGAAACCCTGCACAGTTTCATCCAACTCTCATAATAATCCTATGGTGTGGATAATATAATTTCCATTTTACAGATGAGGGAATCCAGTAACTCCAATTCCCTCCCAAAGGACCATGTTCACTTTATGATCCATACATTTTTTTAAAGGAATGTGCCAGTGTAGTCGGAACAAAGTCAGGGGGATTGTGGTAGGAGATGGGGTCAGAGGTTAGCCAGGGACAGATGAGGTGGGACCTTGGCCATAGTGAGTGGTGATGGCAGACCAGGTGAGGTGGCAGAAGATATGCATGAAGCAGATTTGGGGTCACTTTTGCCTGCAGAATGTTCCGATGGATCATCCACTTATTCATATGTTCATTCTTCATTCATTAAATTATTGACTGGTTTAAACAAGGTAGTAATATTGGGGGATCTGGAGTCACAGTGCCTGGATTCAAGTCAGGTCTCCTTACCCTTGGGAAAGTGACTTTATCTGTCTGAGATTTGGTTTCTTCATCTGTGAAAAGGCTACGCCTTTGACCCACCCTTAAGGAGAGGGGCAACCTCCATACCTTGGCATGTGCTGTGACCTTTGCCAGGAAGCCTTCTCCCTCTCTCTGTGAAGGCTGTCTTTGACCACTATCTCCAGAAAGCCCTCTTATCCAAGGTCTCAGATCCATCCCCTCTTCCCCTAGGCTCCCTTAGTCCCCAAGTTAAACACTTCCAAAACCATCCTCTACTCCCTCCTCAAACCCAGTCAGCTTCAGTCCCACCTGCTTTGTCCATTCCTTCCAGGGTTCCCCACATGGGAAACTCCCCACAAATCAGATATTTTCCAGTGTTTTGAAGTATGCACTCCCTAGTTTTTTGCTCAGTAACGGAAGCAAACAAGCTGTGCAGGGGGTGGTGTCCTCTCTGGGGACAGGAGCAGCTGCAGGTCTACAGACTTTTCTGCCTTCTATGGGCCTGAATTTGGGTTTCTTAGCAATCTGTCTCCAGATGGTGCCTTTTTCTAGAGGCCCCATACCCAGGTTCCCACTACTTGTGGACCCCAGCACCAATTCCTTTCTCTAGGTAGCCCAATTTCTATACTTTTTTTGTAGATCGTTTTGCAGAGGAATGAGGATTCTCCTCAGGAGTGTCTTAACTCCCTGAGGCAGACCTGACGTTCCCTCACACTGTCTCCATCTTCTTCAGCAGGAATGGGCACACAAAAGAAGCTCCAAGAATGAACTTATTGTGCATTGGTGCATAACAACTCTCAAACACACGCTCCTGACATACATTCACATTCAATATTGTACCCATGGTTATAGTTCACTCACATATATATCCATACCACCTTAATGTGATTGTGCGTGTACAAACATACATATGACTCACACATTGTTATGGCACACACACAACTGTATCCTCACACATTCCATATACATTCAATACTACCTTGATTCTTGCACAGCCCCATAGGTCTGCATATCACACACATACACAGCTGAACTTCCACTTTCTTGTAAACACACACCTCTCTTATACTCTCTAGTAGCAACCAGAACCCCTCACTTTGGCCTAGTCCTCCCAAGATGACCAAGTACTCATAGGTTTCATGTTCACTTCAACCCATCAACTGGCCCATTTTACAAAAGGGGAAAGCAACCAAGAGAGACCGGGTGCAGGTGTCACAAGTCTCCCACACGAATCTTCCCATACAGAGAGGTCCCCTTTACCCACAGCCCTGAATTTTGCTCCTACATTTAAGGCCTCACCATGATTCATTATGCTTCAAAAATGTCCAGCCTACTACCTTTGTGTATCTGTTTCCTCCTTTGTAAAACCGGGATAATACTGACAAGCATGGGTTTGTTGTGGGCTAAACGAGTTCATATCATGGAAAGCCTTAAGACACTACTAGGCATACAGCAAGTACTTTCAAAAGTATTAGCTATTATAATTCTCATGATGCGTCTTCTCACAAGGGGCTGAGCATTCAGTAAGTGGCGAATGAATGAGCAAATGCTAAGAGCAGTGGTTGGTGTCTGGGTTTGTTCCTTCACTGGAGACACGTCCTGCTGATTCCTCTTCTTCCCTATCCCCCATGATGTCCAGCACTATTATTAGTATACAGTAGGCGTTAAGTGTTGAGAAGATGTTCAAATGAAAGTTATGCCTATTCTCAGTCTGTTCTTTTGCTCAGATGTCTTCTTCTACCAGCCCTCCTCCACCCCAAACACCCAGACTTAGCCTGAGTATACAGTAGACGCTAATAAGTGTTGAATGAGCAAATGCTAGAGTAATACGTGTCTGGGTTTGTCTTGGGGGCTCCTCCGAGCAGATGCTGACTCTAGCTTCTTTGCCCCCGCCCCAGCTCAGAGCACATCATAGGCACTTCCTGGGGTCGTCCCCCCGCCTCGCTGAGCTATTTGTCGCCGGTAATTGCGGCTTGGAACTGGGCTGCAGGGAGTGGGTGGGTGCAGGTGCTCGCGCGGCAGGGTGCCAACCCCGGCCAGCACCCGCCTCCGCCGCCGTTCACAGCCGACTGACGCGGAGCCAGCCAGGAGGCTCCCGCGGGTGGGAACCTACGGAGGCGGGGAGACGGCAACGAACAAGCACGCCAGCCAATCAAGAAGTGCCTGCTAGGGAGCATAGCCAATCAGGAAACCATAACGCGAAGCTCTGCAGAGGAACGTGCCGGGAGGCCCGGGGCGCAGGGGGGCTGGGGGCCCACACGTTGGGGTTAAGGCAGTGAAGGGAGGCTGAGGCTGGACACTTGCTTTCATTCCTGCCATTTCCACCGCAGCCACAGTGGAAATACTGTTTTCCACAACAGGCTGTTGTGACTTTGCCCGTGTTGTGTGTCCTTTGCCCTAAAAGATGCTATCGCTTCACTTCTGGAGAAGGGGATAGGTTGCTTTTTCTCCTTTAAGGAATCTTAGAAGAGTTCGAAGAGGCTGGTTTATTGAAGTTTGGGAGGTCAGGGGGTCAGAGTGAAAGGGAGAGGTGTTAGGGCTTTCCCCAAGGATCTTTGCAGGCAGGCACGTGTAGACATGGCCGTTTCTCCTCCACTACCAGCCTCTCCCCCTGCAGCTCCTCGCACAGTGGCCGTGGTTTTCCCCAGAAGGTCACGTTCTTCTCGCCCTGTCCTTCGACCAAGGAAATGGTGGTCCTGGGGCATTGGGCAGGAGGAATGGAAGGGAGAAGGTCAGGGAAGGCAAGAATACATTCAACTCTTATTGGGTGCCTACTGTGTGCCCGCCACTACTTTTTAGCTGTGAGATATTGGACAAATTCTTTATCTTCCCTGTGCCTCAGTTTCCTTTGTCTGCAAAACTGGAATAATATTAACGGCCACCTCACAAGGCTGAATGAGAATAAATGAAGTAAAGTACTCAGAGTGGTGCCTGGCACACAGTAAATGCTGGTGATTGTTACTTGTTGACACCAGACAACTCTTACTTCTAAAACCTTTATATCGCTCCCCACCGCCCCCAGGAAAAAAACCAAATGCCGAGCAACTGCTTTGGGTCTCCTCCCACCGTGGGAGCTTTTCTGTCCTCTCAATAAATCCTGCTTTCTCACTTAAAAAAACAACAACAAATGCCTTGTCCTGACATTTAAGGCCTTACTGTTGGGCCCAAATCCCTGCCCCGGTCACTCTTGCTCTCTCTCCACTCCACTTCATCCAAACTCAGTCCAATGTGCCTGGATTACTCCTCCCACTAGGCAAGCTTCTCATTTGCTCTCATCTCATTCTTTCACTCATTCAAGTCCTTTGCACCACCATTCAACACGTCTAAACTAGGTCGGGCATGGTGTAATCCCAATGCTTTGGGAAGCCAAGGTGGGAGGATTGCTTGAGGATTCCAAGAGTCTGAGGTTGCAGTGAGCTACGATTGTGCCACTGCACTCCAGCCAGGGTGACACAGCGAGACCCTGTGTCTTAAAAAAAAAAAAAAAACACCTCTAACTCATCTTCTGGACCTACTCTAAACCCTACAGCCAGGAGATCCCTTCCCAGATGGCAGGTCTTCTGTGAGCTGGGAACACTGCTTCACCTAGTAGCTTGATGTATGTGGAAGGAACAGATAAGTATTTTGGCCCTTTCTAACACATGGGCCTCTCTGTGACTGGGAAACGCTTAAGGCAGCTTAAGACTCTACTCACAGTTTTGATGCCAGGAATGCCTTTTCTGACCCCTATCTGCCCCAGGAGGCCCAATCAGCTTCCTGGTAACCTAAGTTGAGGTGGCAGTACCTTTCCCACACATCAGTCGTTCCTCACATGTCAGCTAGGTCCCTTGGAGGATCTCCAGGATTTGGGTTCTGTGTCTGCAACTGCTGCCCAAAAGGCTTTGGAGTGCCTTGGGGCAGTGAGATGTCTAGTGAATGGTTGGAGCCCTGGGTGACTGCGGGAGTGAGGACGTGAATGGAGGCCTGAGTGACTGAGCACCTCAAAGCATGGGTAACTGAAGGTCAGAGTCAATGACACAGGAAGGACTGAGTGAATGGCTAAGTGACTGAATGAGTGACCGAGGGGCACAGAGGCTATGAATTCTCCTCCAACAGCTTTCTTCTCATCTTCTTTAGTTACTCCCCCTTCCCGCAGCTGGGAGGGGACACCCAGCAAGACAGACACCTTAGACCCAGTGGTGGAAGCCCTGGTTGTCTGTCGTAGTCGACTTTCTCATCTTTAATATCATGACCCCCTCCCAGGCACACGCTGCCCCCTCACTCACGGGAACTTAGGGAGCAATGCCGTGCAGAGGCGCTGGCGGGCGCGGGTGGGGTTGGGTCCACATGGGGGCATGCATAATCCCCAGGTATTCCACTCCGACCACGAGCCTTTCACTGTAATGAGGGGTTGGGGGTCAGAGTCAGAACTGGAGGTCTCAGAGGAAGGGTGAGAGGGAGGCTGCAGGAACACGGGGTCCACAGGCAGAGTTGAAAAGCCCTTGTCCCTACATAGGTTGCCCCATCCTCACAGTGTAATCTGTGGGGCACTCACAGTTGCACTGCTGGATGTCGTAGCAGTGTCGGATATCCTGTTGCTTCCCCGAACATCGCTGTCCATCAAACGTGCGGCCCTTGCAGTTCCTTGAGCGCATCTGCTGGCCCGCCATATTTTTACATCTGATGGACTTTATGTTCCGGCGGGTGCAGGTGCTCCACTCCCCCCAGGCCTCCCACTCTCCGTCCACTGCAGAGATGGGGCAACAGGGTTGGACCAAAGCAGGGAACCAGCAAGGGGCTTCAGAGGAAGGAATGGGGACTGCAGGAGGGAGTGGGAGTGACCAGAACTTCCCATTCTGAGGTCAGAGGCCTCATCCCTGCATTCCTGGGCAGGGCAGAAGGCCAGTAGAGCCCTGCTGCTCATAGGCTGGCCCTGGACAGGGCTTTCCAGGTGTGGGAATAGGGGATCAGAGGTAGAACCAAGGCATCTGGGCCAGGAAAGGTGGAGAGATAGGAACAAGATCTCAGCAGCAGGAACTGGGCAGCAGAGGTGGACAGAGAGGCTTAGGCATGGAAATGCTGCATCCTGAGGTGCTGACCAGGGCAGGGCACAGCCTTGTTGCAGATGTGACTCCTGGTGTTGTCACCATCACAAAAGGGGCCCCCGTGCTGGGGCACAGGATTATTGCATGTCCGCTGTTCCAGGATCTGGCCCAGGCCACAGGTCACAGAGCAGGGGCTCACAGAGTCCCACGGCCCCCAGCCCCCAGCCACTGTTGGAGAGGAAATAAGAATGAGGAGAACGATCACCTCAATCCCCCATCCCCCAACCCCCAGACCCTTTAGACAGACTGTCCCTACATGAAGGGCTCCATGGTCACATGGTATAAGAACTGTATCCCCTGACATGGTAGAACATCTGTGCCCAGATCAAGAGCCCCTGGCAGAGGACCAGAGGCCTCATCCCTGCATACCTGGGCAAGGTGGCAGGCCAGTGCAGCCCCGCTGCTCATAGGCTGGGCCTGGGCAGGGCAACCCAGGAGGCTGCTGGGAGGGCTCAGGGGAAGAACATGTGCGGCTTCGTGTCTCCGTAGGCATGTGGGGTCCACCATGGCAGGAGTCTGAGCAGGGGCTCCAGGGGCCCCAGGCAGCCCAGGCCCCGTGTGCTGTGGTGGGAGTTGGAGAAGATGATGCAAGTGGTCATGCATACCAAAGTCCTCTCACCTTGGCAGTTCTCTGGTATAACCCCACAGACCCACCCTAGGTGCCCCTGTTAGCATCCTTTGGCTGCTCTTACTCACTGGGGCAGATCTTCTGGGTGTCACATGCCTGTGACTCATGTGCCTCTCCTGGGCAGTGGCCCCCACACTTGGGCACAGGGCGATCACATGCTCGCTGGCGGGTCTGGGTCCCCTTGGAGCAGGTGACAGAGCAAGAACTCCAGGGCCCCCAAGCAGACCAGCCGCCCATCTCTGTGGGAGAGAAGAGAGGAGAATGGGATGGAGGTGGGGTGTCCTTCAGGACTCCTTGCTTCTTTGATACCCTTCATCAGCTAATCCTATTTTCACATCCTCTGCCACCATGCCTGGCCCACCATCCCGGCTCACCTGGACTGCTGCAGCTTTCACACTGGTCCCTCCGCTTTACCTCTGACCATGCAGTCTGCCCTCCTCCCTACCCAAGTCAGATCTCCCCTGCTCCCAGTCCACATCACTTAGACTCAAATCAGCGTCCTCACTGTGGCTCCCAAGGATCAGGCCCCCTCACCTCTCTGACCTCACCCCCACTACTCTCCTCCCGAGGTTCTCACAAACACCAGGCCCAGGCTGCCGCTTTACTGATTGCTCCCAGCGGCAGGTAACAGGAAGTGCTTTCCAGCCTTGCTGATTCTCCTCACCGGGACAGCATGGCTTGTCTTCACAGGCCTGGAGCTGCCACTCGATGGTTCTAGGTGCCACCTTCTCAAAGCACTGCCCACCTCGGCCTATGCAGTGCCGGTGCCGCAGCTGGGAGCCTTCAGAGCATGTCACGGAGCACGGGGCCCAAGTGGACCACAGTGACCATTTTGGGGACCTGTAGAGAAGAGCACATATGTCCCATCCTGGCGTAAGCTGACAAGGATAACGTGCGGGACTCCAGAGTGTGGGTAGGCACATGAGGGAGTGCTAGGTAAATGTGTGTGGGATGGATTGATGAGTACCTACTGCTTAGAGATAGTGGGGGACTGAATGGAAAGAGGTTGGGAATACAGTAAGTGCTTGATAAATGTCATTTACCTTCATGATCAGGGACTCGGAGTTACCATTGGAAGACCCCAAGGACAACACCAGGCACGCAGTAAGCAAATGAAAGGACTAGGGACCTTGTCAGAAACATACCAGAAACATACCAGGTTACCACCCTGCACAGTAGAAGGTAAACAGGAAGTGCTTAAGAAACAGGAACCAACAGAAATACCCTAGATCTGTCCTTACCTCCCTGCATAGCACTGTGTATCTTGTTAATGCTAAATAGATGTGAACTGTTCACATGACTAGGGTCCCAGGGCTACCCTAAAAAAATCTCCAATCTCCTCATTCCCGTGGTGTATCTGGACTATACAGTAAGCAATTAGAAATAGATCTGGCACACAGTAAGGGCTCAATGTGTGCAAGCTGGAAATCATGATTAGGAGACTAGAGCTGCCCTTAGAAATCCTCAAGTGGATCCCCCCACCCTTGCCCATGCAATGTATTTGGTACACAGGAAGCACTCAATGAATATTAAGTGTCATCATAATTAGGGGCCTGGAGCTACCCTCAGAATCACCCACTTTTTTTGGTACCCACATTGTATGTGCATATAATAAGCACTCAATAAATAGGAACTGCCGTCACAATTAGGGGACTTAGAGTTAACTTCAGAAATACCTGAGCTCCACCCCACCTGCAATAATTCCAATATACAGGAAGTACTCAATATGTGTGAGCTATGGCAGCAGTTCTCAATCAGGGTCAATTTTGCCCCCTAGGGGTATTTGGCAATGTCTGAAGACACTTTTGGTTGTCACAACTGGGGAGGGGGGGAGTTGCTACAAGCATATAGTGGAAAGCCAGGGATGTTACAAAACATCCTACGATACACAGGTCAGCATCCCCCACCCCCAACAAAGAATTGTCCAGCTCCAAATGTCAATAGTGCCAAGGTTGAGAAACCCTGAGCTATGGTCATGATTGGGGCCTCGGGGCCACCCTTGGAAATATCAGAGAAGAAAGCACCCAGTTCTGGGTGACCCCACAGTCCTTTTTGCCTTCCTCCACCCCAGGCTCCCCCTAACCTGCATGCCTGACAGAATTCACTGCCATGTTCCTGGTAGGCATAGGCAGCATTGAGACAGCAGTCTTCCACACTGACACCTCTCCCTAGGAGGTTCTTGCATTCGCCAGAGGATTCTTCATACTGGGTGAAGCAGACCACGGGGTCTGAGCCTGTAACAGGGCCAGGGGATGGGTGGGTGAGGCATGGTCAGGGATATAATGGACCTGGGCACCTCCGGAGGCCAGCTGGGCCCTCATCCACCACTCACCTGTGGTTGGCAGGGTAAGGAGAAGCAGCAGGAGCGGCAGCAGCAACTGAGGGGCTTGTGCCTGGGCGGTCATGCTGAGCATAGTCCCCCTGCACTCCCGACAGAAAGGACAGAGGATGCCTGCTTTATCTGGGCTGACCTGCTTCTGGAGTCAGCAGGAAAAGAGGAACTCAGGCAGGAGGAACTGGGAGGGTGAAGGGCAGGGGGAGAGGGGAGGGCGTCCTGTAGGCCTCTTTAGCTCTGACCTCTCCTGTCCCTTCTGACTCCTCTACTCTCCCCTCATTTCCTGTCTCATTCTTGGTCCTGTTTTGTTTGCCACCGTATCCCCAGCACCTCACGCTCCACCCAGCAACCTTTCAGCACTCAGTCGATGCTCCTTGAACAAATTCTCACTGGGGAGAAACGAAACATAAGAGTTAGAGCCAACTTCCTAGCTGTGTCACTTTGGGCAAGTCACTTACAACTCTGCACTTCAGTTTCCCTATCTGTACCTCAGTTTTCCTATCTGTAAAATGCATAATTTTTACCACGATGACGGCATCAACCTCATAGTGTTGAACAAGGGTGAAATGAGCATGGTGTGCTTAGTTTGTCCCTCTTCATGGGGTAGAGGTGGCATCGAGGTAGTTGCTTCATCCTTCATCCTCACTTAACCTCTGTCTTCTTCTTTACTGAAAGTGAGGATCCCTGCGGTCAGCATGTGGTGGGTGGGGAGGTCAGCACAAGGGAAGTGAGAAGGGGAAGTGGCAGGAGCCCAGGGAGAGATTCTGAGGGAGCAGAATTGGGAATATCCATTACCCCAGGGGGCCAGTTGGGGACACCTCCAGGACCTGAGGCATGGGGTAGTTAGGAGGGAACCAGCTAGGCCTCTCCCTGAGTCTGTTTCCTCCTCTGTAAAATGTGCTCACAGATGGCACCTACAACATAGGTAGGGTTTGTTGCAAAGATTGGAAGTTAAGTTTTTTAAAAGTTCTTAGAACAGTGCCTGACATATAGCAGGTACTCTGTTAAATACATTTATTCAATCTTTATTGAGCACTTACTGGATGCCAGATTTAGTTCGTGGCATTAGACAAAGCAGAGAACCGGATAAAAATCCTGGCTCTTAAGGGACTTAGGTTCTAAGAGAGGAGAAGGACAATAAATGTCACCCCCCTCACAGAGGACTTCCCCAGCTTCCCTTCTTGCTGGGTATCTCTGTCACTCTCTAGCCCAGTGGCTCTCAAACCTTTTTTTCTTTTAAAATAAACTCTAATTTTTTTATTTTGTGTTTAATTAACAAAAAGGAACCTAAGAAAAATAGGAAGGCAATAAATGCCTCATTTCCTCTGCATTCAGGGAAGGAGAAACGCCATTCTGCAAATTCAAAACAAGATAAACGAATTTGATCAGTTGTTAAAACAGAATAGTGGTCTTGTTTTATGGGTGATAAGGTGTGTGTTAATATCTGTATCCATTACAGATTTTTTTTTTGAGTTAGAGTCTCACTCTGTCACCCAGGCTGGAGTGCAGTGGCATGATCACAGCTCACAGCAGCCTCAACTTCCTGGGCTCAGGCGATCCTTTTGCCTTGGCCTTCCAAGTAGCCAGAACTAGACACACGCTACCACACCCGGCTAATTTTTTGATTTATTGTAGAGATGAGGTCTCGCTGCCCCAGGTGGGTCTCGAACCCGCGGGCTCAGGCAATCTACTCACCTCAGCCTCCCAAAGGCGCGGGATTACAGGCTGAGCCACAGAGTCCAGCTATAAGCCTGTCTTTCACAGTATGCTTTGAACAAAGAGGTCTTGTTTAGTTTGTAAGACTTCAGACATCAGTGCTGTTATACTGTGAAAACAAACTCCCCAAGAAACCTGAAATTCTGGCCAGCTGCTTTATTTAATCATCTGTTGCCCTGGTAATAATGTTATAGTCGATATTTTCTTTATTCCTAAACTGTATAAATACTCATAGGATTCCCTGTGGAAGACTGTTGGCACTTTCATTTTCTCCCACACACATTTAGGCAATAAAATGACTCTGCAGACTCCTTATTTAAACAAAGAGTGAGAAAGTCTTGTCTCATTTAATTATTATATCTCTACTTGATACTATGTATTCGTCTGTTTCTTATAGTTCTCCCTAATTAAATAGCAGCTCTACAAGGCAGGGATTTTTGTCTGGTTTGTTACTGCTGAGCCTGCAGGACATTAGATAGGCACCAGCAAACAGTAAATGCTCAATATACATTTGCTGAATGAATCAACAAATGAATGAACACAACTTTAGAGATTCTGGTAAGCACTAAGAACAGTCTGAGTTAGAGGTAAATGTTTAGGCACCACCTGGGGGATAAGTATTATTTTGAGTTCTGGGACTGGATAAGACCACTTAGAGAGGATGTGAGAGAAGACAGAAGAGAGCCCCAAGCAAAACCCTGGGGAATGCCAGCATTTCAAATTTTAGAGAACTGGGAGGAGGGGCCTGTAGGGGAAAAGGACAAACAGAAGAGGCTTTTCTCCTAGGCCTGGCACATTCAATGTGTGGTCTCTCAAATACTGTCTCATTTTCTTTCACATTTTTCTTAACTTATACACAGTGTTTTGGGTTTACAGCCTCTGCTACAGTCTCTTAACCACACAGCCTCTCAGGCTGTCACTCAGAGTCATTTTCTTTGTCACAGATCCCCAGCCTGACTACAGTCTCCTACTAACAGTTTCACACTCACAATCATATCTTACAGTGTCTCATTTGGCCAATATCACCAATACTTTCTCTCACCAGTTTCTCTCTTTCTCTCTCTCTCACACACACAGTCACATCATCTCATGAAACATTTTGGTCACTCATTCAGCATGTCATTTTCTCACATATACAAATAGTCACTGACTTATAGTCACTACTGACTCGTCTCTCATGAAGTTTCTCGCACACAGAAAATCACTTCTCCTACCCCTTCTCACTCAAGCCACTTTTTCACACACCCACAGGCCCGATTACAGCCTCTCCTACAGTCTCCTACAAAGACTTTCACACACACACACAACCACACAGTATCTCACTGTCTTCATCACATAGTCTCACATTTCTTCTCAACCAGCTTCCAGGGTACCTGGTCCTTGATTGACAGCTTTTTATAAAGTCGCTTGCAAAGAGTTTTACACATAGGCACACAATCAGTTTCTCAGCTACTGTCTCAGTCACCCGTTCAGTCCCACCATCATTGTTCCTCCGTCTGCCTATGATACACGCAGTCACTAATTCACAATTGCTACTAGGCCCTTGGTAAGTCACACACAACCAGATGCCCATGTCCTGTCTCATTTGTGCACATAACCGTGTTCCTCACCGGGTCATCTTATCATGTACCCATGTGCACAACTGCAGCCTCACAGGTTTCTCCAACACCCCGTCATGTGGTTGTTCAGTGTGTTCCCACGCAGTCTCATTTGCTCAGCTTTCCTGACTTCCATTCTCTTATAGTTCCTGACTTCCATTCTCTTATGAAGACCCCCCCGACATTGCCCAGTTTCTCTCCCACCAGCGCCGAGTTCCAGTTATTGCTACTGCGAGTCTCACAAACAGTGCTTCTCTCCTGCACACTCAGCGATGTGGTCTCTTCGCACCATTTCCATCACTCCATCTCACCACCATTTTCTTACACTTTTTCACCATCCCTGAGCCTGTGGGAGAGGCTGGAGCAGTAACTGGGAATCAATTTGCCACTAGTCTCAGGTACACACACACACATACACATAGTTACAGCCTCTCACTCTATTCACAGTCCTTCATCCTCAGTTTCTCAGTCTTTTTTTTTTTTTGAGTCAGGGTCTTACTCTGTCACCCAGACTGGAGTGCAGTAGCATGATCACAGCTCACCGCAGCCTTGACCTCCTGGGCTCAGGTGATCCTCCTGTCTCAGCCTTCCAAGTAGCTGAGACTACAGATGCACACCACCACACCTGGCTAATCATTTGATTTTTTGTAGAGACAAGGTCTCGCCATATTGCCCAGGTTGGTCTCAAACTCCTTGATTCAAGTGACCCTCCTGCCTCAGCCTTCCAAAGTGCTGGGATTACAGATGTAAGCCACTACGCTTGACTTCTCACATAGTCTACAGTTTCTCATGAACTGCGTTCGTACACACAATGATGCATTCTTGTATCTTGGGTCTCAGTCACCCATTTGGCCAAAGCCATTCTCTCTCATACAATCAACCTCTCACGTGTACACTCCCATGACTTTAACTGGTATTACAGTCTTGCATAAAGTTTCATACACAACCTGTTTCTCAAATGCTGTCGCCTACAGTGAGGTTTCTCACCTACACAATCTCTACCACAATCCCTGACAAACTCTACTGTAGTTTTGTGCCCATGCGGTCCCTCACACGTGATTTTGGTCATAGTACATCTTGCTCACCATCAGCCTGTCAAACACTGAGAGAGTTGCAGTCTCCCCCCTTCTCCTAAACACAATTTTGTACATACCTTTGCAGGTTCTTGTACAGGATTTTAACCACTTACCCAGTCTTAATGACTTTCTGAAACAGTCACAATTTCTCATATAGACATGCTGTCAAAAGTTTGTGGTCACAACTGTATTCTCTCACACACATAAACACAATAACAGTTTTCCAGTTTCTTTGACACACACATATGCGGTTATCAATGTTCAGTCCCTACTACTGTTTCTGACACACACCATCACACGGTTTCTCTCACAACCAACCTCTGCCACACACTCTCATCACTCTCATCACAGTCAGCTAGTCCTAACAACATCAGGGAAAAAAATGCCAGCAGCCTCAATATCACCTTTAAAAATATATATTTACAAGAACAATTCCCCATTCTCTGGAACTCTTAGAAAAAAAAGGTCCATTTTGGGGAAGTAAAACAAACAGTGGAGACGAGTGTAGCACCGTCCCCCAAATCACCAACCCCCAGGTCCCCAGGCCTGGGCTGGGCCGGTGCTGACAGGAGGTGAGCCCAGGAGTCTTTTGAACCCCACTCTCTCCAGCCGAGAGTCAAGACAGGACAGGCTTTATGTCCCCCATTCCTCCCTCCCAACTCCAGGGACTCTTAAAGGGT